GAGCAGCTCCAGCAGCAGAAGCAGGATCAGGTTGAAGTTGATCTGCAGGGGCCGAGGGGGCGGGGAGCGGGGCTGAGCGCCTGCCTCCTCTGACCTGTGACCTGGACCCGGGCACAGGGCTGGGTGCCGCCCGCGGCTGATCCAAGCCTGGCCCCTGGTCCATCCTCCCTGCCACCGGCTCTCCAGGGCCCCTGCTCTAAAGAGAGGAGCACCCCTGGCTGGTGGCTCAGTGGTCACAGCCTCGGCCCCTGGACCAAAGGGTCTCAGGTTCGGTTCCCGGTGAAGGGCTCGTGCCTGGGAACAGGTTCCCTCTATGGGGGAGGCAGCCAGTGGGTGTGTCTCTCACATAGATGTCTCCCTCTCTCTTCTCTCCCTCCCTCCCTCCCTGCTACCCTCTCTGAAAGCAACAGGGGAAAAAATCCTCAGGTGAGGATTTGAAAGTGGTAACAGTTAGTGGTAACCACCAGTGCGTCGCAGACTCGATGAAACACAAGGTGTCCCCCAAAACGCAGACCCACTGAGTAATTACTAGCTCCAGGGGTCACACTCAACAAGGAGAAAGTCGGCTGAGCTACCAGCTGTTAGAGCGGGGCACGCTGTGGGGGACCCCTGCGTGTCGCCATGTCCGTTAACGTCTAAGAACTCATGAAGGCACTGGAACGGCATGAGTAAATCCATCCGCTGAGTCAGGAAAACGTGAAAGACAATTCCCTCCTCAGAAGGATGAACAAACTCGCCACCGGGTCGGACGCGAGCCGTGACGCAGGTACACGCGGCGGCAGGAGGCCCGGGAGGAGGCGGGAAGCGTGGGGACCCACGTGGCCCCGGCGACTCACGTCGATGGCTGACGGGTTCAGGACCAGTTTGCAGCCAAACCAGATCAGACACGTCGTGGTGACCGCGAACGTGGAGACGAACAGCAGCTGGAAGCTGGGGACCTGGGAGAGAAGTCGGGGTGTGCTCCTCTGCACCACACTGACCCCAACTCCAGGCCACTCGTGGGGAGGCCACAGACTCACTCCTGGTGAGAGGGTGGGGGCTCGGGCTGCCGCGGGCAGTGAGGTGCACCCACCCAGGCACCAGGCATGCACCTAAGTGTACGCACATGCACACGAGTACACGCACACAAGTATGCGTGTACACAGGTGAGCACACACATGTGCCTGTCGGCCCCACAGGGCCTGGTTCCATCCGCAGCCACGAGCCGTGCGGCTGCCCAGGGCCCAGCGACTGGACCGAGCTGGACTCACCACGTCGGCGTTCCTCCGGGAAACGGCAAGGCTCACGACGGCCGCGGGGATGCACTGGAAGAGAGAGCGCCCGTGAGCGGGCCAGGCCCGAGACGTCAGTTGCAAAACCAGGGTGGTGGCCACGGGCCGGCCCCGAGAGGCACCGTCTGCGGAGTGGCTGTTCGGGAGGAAGCGTCAGCTTCCTGGCGGGACGGAAGGGCCCGTGTGACCGTGTCCAGGTGGACACTCGGAGGGGGAGGCGGAGGCAGTCCCTGCGGGAGACCGGGCCTCGCTCTGCGCAGGAAATTACCCCAAGGGCAGACGCTGCAGGGCGGGAACTCAGGAGCCGAGCCCCAGGGCGTTCTTGTAGGGGCCCCTGTGACCCTCACCGGGGCAAAGACAAGGGAAGCGGGCAAGTGTGGGGCGTCGGGCGGGGAGGTGGACCGAGGGGGCCAAGGGGCCTCAGGGGCCACACGTGTGGCTCTTGGGGGTGACGCACCTGCAGACGCTGCCGTGGGCACAGCACAAGCTGAGGGGCGGGGCCTGCGGGGCCAGAGCAGTAGTTGGATGGGGAGGGGGAGCCCTTGGGACCCCATGGCCCCTGTCACTTGAGGGGGAAGGGCATTGCCAAGATCTACGCCGGGACCCCCAGCCTTGGCTGGCACTGCCCTTAAGCCATCAGGGTCAGAGGTCAGGTCACCCCCAACAAGGGCTGCTCCAGAGGTGAGGACAAAGGTCACCTGGAAGGTTCTCCGAGAGGCAGGGCGGGCGTTAGAGCTTTGTCCTGAGGCAGCAGAGGCCGCCCAGGGCGGGAGGGAGGGAAGCTGTGTCAGTGGCCTCAGGTGTTGGAGGACCAGGCGGGGCTGCAGCTGGAGAGCGGGCAGGCGGGAGGGCAGGCAAGAGGCCCCGCCAGCCCAGGGC